GGCATCCTTAAAAAAGGAGATGTTTGCTTGGTTGCCAAGTAGCTATATATGTAGTAGACCTAGTGACATCCATGGAGGGAGGGGTGGACCAAACAAGCAAGATGGTGGTCACAGCACTGCAATCTTTTTGTACATCTGTGACATCTGGACTGTCTTGACTGCCCCTGTAAATGCCATTGGATAGATTGACATATGCTGCAATTAACACTCCTACAATAAACATCTTAGAGGTGACTGTGGTGCTAATACACTTTTTAAATTACAAGCTAGATGTGAGTGTGAGTAACCTGGAATAGGCTGTTTGTGAGGGGGTGGTTTCTCCTTCACTGGAAGTATTTTAACAGAGGCTAGATGGCCATCTGACAGGAATGTGGAGTAGCAAATTCTTGTACTGGGCAGGTGGTTGGACTAGATTGTCTCCAGAATCCCTTCCAACTCTCACATTCTATCGTTGTATGGTTGTACAATCGTATTTCCAGCTGTTAGCAGCATTTCTGCAACAAAAACAGGAATTTCTTTTTTTCTGATAGGGAAATGTTGGACAGCTAGAAAGGCTTTAATATTAAAAGTGTAAAGGACAATAAATAAGACTAGGATTAGACCTTATCCCTCATAATAAAATAAGCCCATTATTATCCCCAATAATAAAGTAGGCCCTAAAGTACTACAATGAGAAATTCCAAAGAAATTCTCAAGGACCCAGAAAACAAGGCAGAAAAAGAAAAGCCTCTTTTGTAGGGGAAGAAAACTTTTGAGAAACTACAAGGCATAGTTGGCCTAGCATCAGTGGCTACTCCATTCACACTGCTTAAATATAAATAGATTGCACACTGGCTTGTACATGTATTTAATTTTAATGAATTAAAAAAGAAATACAAAACAAAATATATTTAAACCAAAATAATATCATGGTATCTCTGTACAGGATAGATGCTTATCACAAGAAATGTATGACATTTAAGGACTAGTCTGTACATGCTATCCACAATTACAAATTGAATCCAATGCTATATTAAAAAAAGAGATTTTTTAGAACATCAGAGGTACTTTATGGAATTCTATGCCAGTTTTACATGGCAAAGTATGCCTTTATGACTGCAGGATTAATTTTGAGGACCAAAGTTTCATTGAGAGTATTTGCCTACATTACTTGGTGTGATCTATTGTATCATCAAATCTATCCACTAGTACAAGAAAACTTTTGAAAACAGTTATCTAAATAAATAGCAAAATGTACAGATACAATAATTCTCCAAAAGTATTTGTAAAAATGCAGAGGATTAATGAGTGCAAATTGTCCACTTTCACATAATTTTTCATCCTCATATTCATTCAGACATGCCTAGGATTTCCAACATAGTGTTCTAGGCCAAGTCCTAGAATTCCTGATTTTTGTCAAAAACTTTAAAATAGACAAAGGCAGACTGGCATGATGGAAAATGAAGGGTCAATCTCTGGTAGTATTTTTATATCCAAAGCTACTGTTTTAATATAAAAGTGCTGTGCAATTATAGCGCAAGGGCTTAGGTTAGTGTATCTAGGCTGCAAAACTCCTGACAACCACTACATGTCAGCAGAGAGCTAGCCTTTTCGGTCTCTCTTTGCATCCTTTTATTAGTTCCTGAAATTTTGCAGTCCAGCTTTGGCTACCTTAATAACAGTTCATTTAAGTATACTTGGCCATCCAGGAAAAGCAAAAAATGGGTGTCATGGTGACTACTCAGATTAAAAAAGGAGGTAAGTAATAGGGTTATTCACTCTTTTTGCACAGGCATTTGCTTCTCTATTTTTTACATTTCATATTTCACTGTGGTTTATAAAAACAGTGACACTCAGACCTCAAACCACATTGCTTGTCTTCAGTTTCTTGCCTAACCCAGTTTTCTCTGAGCATCATCAGAGAAATCACTGTAAAATGGGAGTTGAAATAGAAATCTGTGGGCTTAAAAAGAGTGATTTTGGGTTAGTTCAGACTTCACCTGCACCTTGTTTTTTAGTTCCTTGGGCAAATCATTTTTATTTTAGCCTAGTCTCAGCAGTTTGTCTTCTTGAAAATGGGGGCGAGTTTCAATCTGTCTATGTTTAGCATGGCACCCATTCTGTTAAGAGTGCACATGACACTCACAAAATTACAAAATGGGGAACCAACTAACATTTTTAAGAGAAATAATGGCTAAGTATTTCCAGTATTTTAACAACTGGGTTTCATTAATGTATCTCACCTCCCACTAAAACCAGATTGCCATTTAAAAGAGATATTTATGCAAATTTGTATAATTGCATATACAAATCCCCTGAAGGTCAGTTTTCTTCATAGAAAATGTGTGAATTGCTTTAATATGCTTTTGAGGGAGAAAGCAGGGGATTTCTACACAATATTTTACCAGCCTTCTAAATAAAAACCAAGGAATGAGGTTGATTGTTGTCTTAAATGTCACACAAAAAGTAGAATGTATCCAACATACCCTTCAGCTGCATCTTGCAGAAGAATAGTGAAGATAATCATAATATCTTCCAAGAAACAAACCTTTCATTATTACTTGTCTCACTGAGGAATTCCTAATAAACTTCTGAGGAACCCCAAGTTTTGTTTATTACACAATCTGAAACCAAACGTGTCTCAAGGAACTACAAATCTCATTTCTAAGTATGGCATCTGGAAAAAGCTCTGCAGCAAGAATGCTACTATAGGGATAGAATCCAGAATGAGAACATTTGAGGGTACCTGTAAAGGTTGAATGTTTCCATTTTGAGGCACATATAGTGAGAAAGTGCCTTTACAACACCATGCCAGGTTGATGATTATCATACATGTGTGGAAAACAAAGGCAGAAAGTGAAGTTCCCGAATAATCCAAACAAAAAGACCTGAAAACATTTTGGGAAAGCATCAGTTATACTGGGTGTGAAGGCTGATTGTGGAAATGTCTCTGGGAAGCCGTGAGTAAAAAGCAGGGGAAAAACCTTTGCAGAAGTTCACAATTCCACTCACTTTGCTTCCTTCCCAAAGTATATTTAACCCTGAGTTTCAATAATTGGTTTATCATTTTCTTTTCTAGTTTTAAAGTGTTGTTAAGTTCACAACAAATTCCTTTTAGGCAACTGGAAAATTTACAGAAGAATATTCCCAATATTTCTGTTTTTCAAGTTGTTTCCACATGATCTCATGTTTGCTGTAAAAAACCTGGAAAAAAAATAAAGCAGTAAAGTTTTAGGCAATACTTGGAATTTAGGTAAATAGGACTGTGTACACCTCAAAAGATTCTCATGTGAGGTCTGCTACTTTGAAATAATTTTTGAAGTGTGTACAGCTCTATTATAGGTAGTCCTCATTTAGTGATTGACTCATTTAGCAACCATTTGCAGTTACGATGGTGATGAAAAAGTAACTTTACGACCAATCCTCACATTTATGACCTTTGCAGGTCTGTAAAGCAAAAGCAAGCTGAAGCAAGATTATAAGCATGGTCGCAGTTTAACTTAGCAACCGCTTCACTTAACAACCAAGTTGCCAGTCCCAATTGTGATCACTAAATGAGGACTACCTGTAAATAGAGAATGAGTTGAATTTATTGAACATAATTATTGGAATTATAGGATATACTGCTGAACATTTTCAAGATTGAGGAAAGCTATTCTACAGCAATATTCCAGTTACTGAGCAGTCTAAAAGATGTAGTAAGTTATAAATATCAATACCAAATTCAGGTCCATATGGAACAGAAGAGCATTTTACAATATTGAGGTTAAGGAAGGAAGATGTCATGTTGGTTTGCCTGATTTAACTGGGAAGTGATCCTAGTTGAGATCAACTGCAACACACTCTAAATGGGGCTTCTTCTGAAGACCATTCAGAAGCTTCTTTTAATTCGGAATGGAGCACCAGGCCAGCTCTCTACCCCCAAATACATAATACAAGTGCTTCCAGGTGTATTGGCTTCCTATTTGCTTCCAGGTGAAATTCAAAGTGCTGGCTTTAATCTATAAAGTTCTATATGGCTTGACACCAAAATACCTTCATGATTGCCTTCTCCAGCTGGAATTGATCTCTCCAACTCATACATCCCAAGTGAAACTGCTTTTGGTCCCCCACTACCACATCAGGAAGGGGAATGAGACACAACATTGCTGTTTCTCAGAGGCTGAATCCATGCTAGGAGCCTCCTGATTAATAGTAGGTTCGCCCCCCACAATAGTGGCCTTTTGGAAACTATTGAAGACAATTGTTCTGAAGGGCTGCAGTAACTGAAATAATGCTGATGTATGGATGTTTTTTTTTTAAATTTTATTTTATATTGGAATGTTTTAGGATTTATTTTTTACTGCATTAATGTATTTTGTTCTAAACAGCCAAGAATATTGTGTTTGCAATGGAGACAAATTAAATAAATGAATAAACAAACTCTTAAAGGTGAATAGTTCTTCATATCAACATCAGGAGCATTAATATGAAAATATATCCTGTAAGATTAAAATTTCTCATGCTGGGTCCTGATTCTGTATTTGTAAGAAATGCCCCCCCCCCCCAATCTTGACTACATAGGATGCAAGCAGCTGGTACCTTGCAGAATTTCTAGCACCTCATGGGACACCTGGCCATTAAGACATTCATATAAACTGTGTGCTGTTCCATTATTCTGTTCAGAATCTCTCCATTTCCGCAGCATCATACATTTATACATATTAACATCTTCTTCCTTTGCCTCGATCTGTTGGATATCTTCAATGGACAACTTCAGGGATCCAATACCTATGACTTTCCAGTCTTTACCCATTTTTTTTGCAAGAATCATCAGCTGCTGATCAGTTAACAGGTGGTTACTTTTCATCCCATCTAAATGCATAAAAGCAGAAATTAGTTAAAAGTAGCTCTTTTTTTTTACTTTGTCTGTACTAAAGAACCTGGCAGTGGGGGCTAAAAATGGTACTTCTGTTTGTATGGATGACAAACAAATACCTTATGGGATATCCCTTCCCATCTACCCAGAACGTAGGAGCAGCCAGTAACTAGTTAGCTGTGTTCCATGATATGTCTAGCTAAGATCGACTGTTACATCTCAGTTGGAGATCTTACTGAGCTCTGCTATTCCCTTTCAATTACCACATTATCTCCAGTGCCAAAACATTATTGTAATTGAGAAGGAATGGGAGGTAAACCCAAGGGGAAAAAACATATCATGGAATAAGCCCAGGACTTTAAGCTCCCACCAGAGCAGCAAGGCAACAAAGAATTGATCCACAGTTGCCCACCACAGTCTCAGTAAATAAACCAAATAATGAGGTTTGAGTGAACTTAAGTTTTCTAATCCATGTTATATTCCTACCTCCTCATTCAATCATGAGAAGATAGGCTGGAAGGGAGAGGAGATGCTACCTACCCCAGAGCCAGCAGCAGGACACTCCTCAAAAAATCTACTATCTCCTGTGAGCCTGCAACTAATTCTGTAGTTCAGCAATGCTATCTAACTACTCAGACCATGATTTCTATGCTTGAATAATGAAGCACAGTGCATTATAAAGATGATGAGCTGAAGAAGCTTTCTGATGCACATGTGCAATATAATCTATGGAAGCAGAGTGAAGAAGTGAGTCTTCACAAAATGAAGAAGGGGAACATATGGTTTTCTCTACATCTATGTCCTCTACCCAAGCAACTGCAATAGCCTTAAATGTAGGAGTTCTCTTAAATTAAAGCAATTTTTTCTATGGATAGTTAGTAATGATATTAATAGAGGGAGATTGTGCTTTATAAACCCATTTTGCTGCCATACACACTAAACTGAGAGTAAGAGTTTGGTTACTGCTTAAGATGCTGGATTAGAAAGCAGGAAACTATGAGTTCTCATCCTCACTTAAGCATGAAAGCTGGCTGAGTGACTTTGGACCAGTCACTCTCTCTCAGCCCAACCCACCTTACAGAGTTGTTGTGGTGGTGAAAATAGAATGTATGCTGCCTTGAGTTGTACAAATAAAGGCAAATATAGGAAATATGTGGGGAAATATGGGGAAAATAGGAGGCAGGAGTATTAGGTATGTTTGCTGCATTGAAATAGATATAGATATAGACATGTGTGTGTATGTATGTATATATGTATATGTGTGTATACGCACGGGGGGCATACATATATACATACATACAGCAGGATAAAAATTAATAATAATAATAATAATAATATCTAACAATAACTTTATATTGATTTAACTGTGCTAGAACATTTGCCTTCTCTTGATGGAAATGTTTGCCTTCTCTTGATGGAAATGTTTGCCCTCTCTTTATGGAAAGTTTAGAATTGTGTTTGTTCATTTAAAAATCTACCACTCCCGATGCTACTGAAAAGCGAGAAAATTTATAAGATTTCAAATAACAGTTTTAAGAGTTTTTCAAGATCCTCCTTTCCAGATGCTTTTATCTAGTTATACCAAAAAGACAGTCCTTAAGGCTTACTTGTCAAACACATCTGCTACCTAAGAAAACAAGTTTGAGTATAATGCAGGAATCTTAGCCAATAAAGCAAGGCACATATATTCTCATCAAGGACAGACTTAATCAATGTTCATCATGGCAGGAGGTGGGGGGCAAAGCAGAGAATAAACAGAAAGGGACAGAACATGATAGAAATTTTATTCATTCCCTGCCAGAAAAAGAAAAAGCCAAAATTACATTCAAAGTGGAGAATTTGATGGGGCTTTTTTTCAGGAGTCTTGAGCAACAGATGTCGTTCAACTGATGGCTTCCAAGCTTTTCACTCAAGGCCAATCCAAACATTGGCAAAGCCAGACCAAGCAAAGGAAATATCACTTGGATTTCCACCAAATTATATATAAATGTCACTAGGGATCCTCTATGCACTAATGTCATCTACAACTAGATGACAACGTTTCTAGATTTGGGGGGTCCAAAATCTTACATCCCTGGCCAAAGGAAAAGCTGAATCATCCTAAATTATTTAGGTCCACCTTTGCAGGTGTTGTTTCTCTACCCAAGTCTTCATATTTGACAGGGAACTGCTAAAGACTGGCCATTGGTTACAGTGAAAAGACCTCAGAACTGATTAAACAATTTCAATCCAGAAAGCCCCTGGTAATGATCTGATCCATACATATATTCTTAAAGCAGGCATATAAATGGTAGACTACTCTATTCACCACTTTTTACTGCCACAGATCATCCCAAAAGATTGGGATTTAACCATTATTATTCCTATTAAAGGGTGGGAGATCTGATCAAGCTATTAAGGAAACTCTATGGCAAGAATCTATTGCTGAAACCTTAAGATTAAGTTCAACAGTGTAACATTTTAGATGACCAAGCAAGCTTTAGAGAAAACTCAATCAGATTTTGGTCCCAGCCCACTGAGTAGAAAAAGAAAAGTCCATTTCTAAGACAGCCGTATTGGTTGCTTTCGTAGGTTTCAAGTCAGCATTTGATTTGTTCTTAAAATATGGGTAAATTTCATTGGGGGAAATTAATATTGCCAGACAGCTCCTTTTATTAATATATAATCTGTGTGGTGAAACCCATTCAAGTATTGGAGGTGTCAGACAGGATAATGAAATGTATTGAACAAGGTTACTTGTTAGTTCTATGATTATTTAACATCTATATAAATTATTTAATTATATATCTTGCCTCTTCACGGCAGCAGTATCACCCCCTAGGTTGCCTGGCAAATCACCCCCTATTTTGCTTTATACAAATGTGGTTTGTTTTCACAGACACAAGTCAGATCAGGAGACTGGCTGAATATAAACTGCTCTAAAACAAAGATTGTGAAGTGTGTCACATGACTGATTAAATACAGATGACAGATTAATAGACAGGCAAGAGAAATGTTATAAACATCTGGGAATAATTTTTTATGACCCAAGATTATAGAGTGTGCAACCGTCATAAGCAATGAATAATGCAGAAAACAGTGCCTCTGCCACCCTGAGATTTCATCACACAGCCAGTATTCCCTTAGCATTATAATTTTAATGCCCAAGTTTTACTTTACTTTTGCTGTACAGGGCACAAGGCTGCAATTATCCCTACTTTTAATACTTTTAATAAACCCTTCTTTTAATAAACTACAAGTTGTCCCCTCTCCACCCATATTTCTTCAAGTATCCAAATGTAGCACTTAGTTAGGAGCAGGCCAGTCATCTGTGGAGGCTACAGCCTGGATTTTGTTTTTTTGTTATCTGCTTAAATTACTTTTTTTACCAAGAAACTTAGCTGGGCTTCTTTGCTTGATTCCTTACATTCAGCCTGGTGAGTAAATTGGTGAGAATTTTTGTCCCCCTTATTATTTAGTGTCTCTGGAATTTAGGTAAGCTAAGGAGACAATAAAACAACAGATTCTGGACATAGACATAGATTGACACAATATAAAGCTAGCAGGTTGAAAAATTGGATTCCCATCAAGCACTAGTTACTTATCTTCACTCTATGGAGTGCCAGAAATTAAGAAGAGTATTTCACCGGCAGCTTTGATGCACTTTCAATGATAGAAGGGCATTCCAATGAAAGATCACACCCGCCCTTAGGGGCTTGATCAAGTAGAATCTTTAGCCCACGCCTGTCTGCATGGCTCTTATTACAATAAGTCAAGTCTACTTTTATTGTTCCCCTAGTATCTAAATTCCCAGAGAGCACTGAGAACATGTAAGTATTTTACCATTAGCATACAGAAATATTCTTCACATATATAAAGCTGCTAAATCCAGCTGGTGCATCAGTTATAGGCCTTGAGGATGGAAATGCGCTGGTAATAATGACTCACGACCAAGTCATCTCATATACAGATTATGGTAATGAAATATATGTGGGATGGCATTAAAGGTGACTGGAAGGCATTAAATTGGTCCAAAATGCAGCTGTTCACCTGCTAACTGGCAGTAGCAAATTTAACAGCTCTGTATCTATGCTATAGAGCCATGCTGGTGTAGTGGTTAAAGGTACCAGGCGAGAAGCCAGGAAACTATGAGTTCTAGTCCTGTCTTAGACACAAAAGCCAGCTGGGTGACCTTGGGCCAGTCATTCTCTCTCACTCCCTAGAAAGAAAGTAGTGGCAAATCACTTCTGAAAATGTTGCTAAGAAAACAGCAGGGACTTGTCCAAGCAGTTGCCAAGAATTAAGGCTAACTTGAAGGCACACACACACACAAAAAATCTACAGTCACTGCATTGGTTACTGGTTGGCTTCTGGCTCCAATTCAACGTGCTGGTCATAGCCTTCAAAGTCCTGCATGGAGGGGCAACCAGATACCTACCCTTGCTTGTGTCCAGATTCAACTTGCCCCATGGGATCTTCAAGAGGATTCCATAGGAAGGAAAGAGGATAGGGGCCTGAGGATGCACCTTCTCAGTGGCTGCCCCCACCATCTAAAAGACCTTGCCTCCCTAAATAAGAAATGCCTGGAAACTATTAGCCTTCAAGCAGGCTAATGAATTCTTGAAAACATTTTTAGTCCACTGAGCCTTGGATTGCTGATGGTACTTGGGTGGCTTGATTAACAAAGGAAAATATATAAAGCAAGCAGATTATGAAGACAGTAGCAGGGACTAGATAGCCTTGAAGAAATCCCCTGAAGTAATCTTACGAGTTGGCACGACCACCTTAGTCAGAACTGGTCTTCATTTACAGATAAAAAGTCTTTACAAAATCCAGATGCTATGTATCTTCTAGAAGAGCGATATTCGTATGATATAATGCAACTTTGTCTGGCTATTCATAATTATATGAATACTAGTTAAATGAATATGTATACTGGAAATATACATATTGTTTCCATCCAAGAGCTTTTCCCTTTCTGGAGAAGTGCCTGATAATCATCATCTTTTTTTTAATAAAAGTGTACCTTGTTAGCATCTTGTTGTTCCATTTGGGATATCCCCCAAAACTAGTCAGTTGAAGTTCAAAGTTCCTCAAGATTTGAGGGAACACCATTAGAAACAATTTGACTTGATTAAACCTGCTTCAAGATTAATAGTAATGATAACTGCTAACCCTTCTGTTTATTGGTTTCACTGAAGCCTTAGCTCTAACAGCCTGTGTTCAAAGTAGTTTATGTGAACTAAAAAAGTCTCACCTGTGCTGGTCATGTTCAATTTATCTTTTTAATTCCATTTTGTTTTATTTATCTTATTTTATCCTTTAATTTTACATTATTTTATTCTGATGGTTGGTCAATGACATAAATAAAATACTTTGAAGTTAGTGTGAACCAGATTATTACTCTGTTTCTATTTTTCTTATTTGTACTGTAAGCCACCTTGAATCACTGTGAAGTAGGCAGTCTATAAATTATTCTATAAATACATAAATAAATATGTTTGTGCCACAGTGCCAGTTTATTAGTTTCCAAAGTTAATAATTACTCAATGCAGTGAAGGGTCATAGTTGTTATCCTATTTTTAATTCAGTTTTAAATTGTATTCAGTTTTATTCCTTTTCTTTTAAAGATTGAATGTATATTCTTGTTAGAGCTGGTCCTGTGATAGGAATAAAATAAAAATATGCAAACCTCTATCCTTTTTTTGTCCCCTCAACTCAGTCTTAACTAGTCAGTTCTGGACTAGTCCCTGCAGTTTTCTTGGCAAGATTCAGTACTGCCTTCTTTCTAGACCTGAGGGAGAGTGACTGGCCTAAATTCACCCAACTGGCTTTCACACCTAAGGCAGAAGGAGAACTCACAGTCTCCCAGTTTCTAATCTGGTGCCTTAACCACCACACCAGCCTGGTTTTATCCTTTTCATTAGAAAGGTGTAAAAACTCGTACTGGGAAGAAGCTGTGTCTGTGATTCGACTGTTGATGCCAGAGGACTGGACTTGGGTATCATGTGTACAAAGCATGTGCTCTTTCATTGAGATATTAAATATTAAATAAACCTTATTTGTTATCATTTGCTTTGAAGCAGGAAAAGCTAAAGTCTCCTGTTCAGTAAATGTGATATTGTCTTGCACAGGAGAATATTCCATTCCATTACCCCCACTGTTACCACAATAGACTCAGCAGTCCATGCACAGTTCTCACAGGATGTTAAAAAAGATTATTGCCATTTCAGAATTTTATTTTTTCTTTCAAGCCAACAGAATGTTGGGAGGGAGTCATGTAAAGGGGTCAAGGAGTCTGCCTGCTTGCCTGTCTGTCCATCAGCAAGATAACTCTCTGAAAACTGGATAAAACAAAACTAAATTTGGGGTGCAAAAGAAAACAGCAAAAGAAAGATGTGAGTTCAAAAATAGGTTGGATCAGGCTGTGTCTGCAGAGGAAAAACATCCCAATCGATCCCTATTGGGGGTGGTAGTTGTTCAGCATCTTGGACCACTTCATTCTAAACACCTTCCACCTCCTTCCAAGTCACATGACCCAGAGTAGAGTATATGGTACTCACCTCATACTTCTCAATGCACACATATGCATAAAAATACACAGACTCAACACAAGGGAGTGCAGAAACTGACATGCACGTACGCATCCACCTGATTAGGCCCTTATAGACACACATATAAACATATAGGTAATATGGGAATTCTGGAGGAAGAAATGGCAGACTGAAGATGGCTCCGCAAAAAGTGGAGCCAACGACCATGATGAAGAATGAAGAGTCGGTGAGCAGACCAGCTCTTCAAAACTCTCCAGACAAAGCGAAGGTGGGAGATCACCCACAAGTGCTCCAGGCAGTTGCTCCTCATGAAGAAACAGCAAGACAGCAATTTCCGGTGGGTTCTGAGCACTGGGAGACGGAATAGCCATCTTGCTCAAACTGCAGTCAGCGCCTTCAAAAGGACACTAAGTTCACATACTTCCTTTATAATCACATTTGGAAATTGCTTGTTAACTGCTTTTCACCTATTAGAAACCTTTAGACTGACAAGTCTGAAAACACCGGTGAGTCTACCTTGAATTCCTAGTAAAGGAAAATTTTAACTACAAGTTTAAGAACTTAAACAAATTGAAGTAAACAGTAAAAAGCAAAATTAAGACTTTGATTTTAGAAAGTTATAAATGGATTAAAGGTTCAGATAAATTTGAAAAAAGATTTTGGAATTAATTATAAGAATCCTTCCTGTGGGAAAGTTGACTTGTTTTGAACATAAAATAAACAATTTTAAAAATTGGATACTAGAGGGAACTAAAAATTATAACTAAAGGAGAAGAATACATAAACCCAATTAACAGCTACACAATGATGCAAAATATTATAACATTGGAAACACTGAAGGGTACTTTTGAAAAATGGAATCAGAAGTTAATATGAACAATGTCAATTGCAGTGTTTGCTTCTTGTGGACTTCTTCCAAAAAATGTTTTGGAAGAAATGGCAGAAGAGAAACAAGTTTTATCTGACAAGACTGAGACAGAGTTGACAGTCAAAGTGGATCTACAAATGACTGGCTAGAAGAATAACATGGAAAAAGTCATTGGACATACAAAAGAAGTTGGTTGATACTTTAAAAATCAAAAGGAAATTACAAATAATAAACCAAGAGAGTGATCTAGATAATTCTTTTATATGGATTTACAAAAGAGGTTAGTTAAAGCTTGGATGAATCTTGTCAGAACAGGTAAAAAAGAAATAAAAAGAAATCAAGTTCTACAGCATTACTTGAATGGACTAAAGATTAAGATCGTTAGAACTGAAAGGAAGGAATATAAAGTTGGTTTATTTGATCAAGGTTAAAATAGATGTGTTGTTATTTCTGGCAACCCTTAATTGACTTTTGCTGACACCAGGACTGAAATTACGATGCTTTATGGAGAGATAGGACATGGGGTGAAGAGATTATTGGTTGTAAATTAAGAGGAAGTGAAAAGTTACTAAAATTGTTTATACTTGTTGTGATGAAGATTGGAAGTCACCTCTTTATATATTTCTTTTCTTTTTCTTTACTATATTCCTTCCTTCCTTCCTTCCTTCCTTCCTTCCTTCCTTCCTTCCTTCCTT